ACCCTGCCTCCTTGTTTAACTGTGTGTGATAACCCCGCCTCCTTGTTTAACTTGTATGTGATAACTGCCTCCCTGTTCAACTGCATGTAATAAACAAGGGTGCTGAGGTTTCTCTATCCGAGAGCTCAGTCCACTTGACCTCAGCTTTTCTCTGTCCCTGTTTTCCCCATCAGGTTCATCCCTGGAGCCGGTCTAGACATGATTCGTTTGTGTGAGAAGTTCAGCTGTGCATTGAGAGTACAGACATTTCTGAGCTCCCCCCCGCCACACACAAGGAGTAATCAGTGATTAATGCCCGCCTTAGTTTGTGGGCTGCCACATCAGAGACTATGGTGACACCACAGAGCGCCGCCTGCACAGTTTGGCTTAGAGAATTCCGATGAGTGTCAGTCAGAATACAGGCACATCCAGATCACAGTGAAAACCCCATCAGATTGTGTGTGCGATATGTGCACAACGTTAGATGAAGTGTTTTAGGCCGGGCCTCTTTTGTACGATCTCTTACTCCACAAATTCCACACACATCTGACCTCAAGTCCTTTCCAGTAATGGATATCAGCGTGTTCTGCAAACCAGTGAAAGACTCTAAATGCATTTCTGAGGCCTGTCAGCTCTAAAGACATTTTCTGAAGCCTCTTAGCATTTGGAAACGGGACAGTCACCCCCCCCCCCCCAACATGCTGGACTGCTCATCCTCCTGTGTCCTTGTGAATAATCTTCAAACACAACTCCATTCTGGGAATTGAGGCAAATACAACCCACAGATGTTGACTCAGTTCCTGATGTTTGATTTAGTCACTAGAATAAGGTCAGGGAGGCCACAGATGCTCCCCTTATCTCACCTGACCACGCAGCTATTCTCCTGCCCTGGAACAGACCAATCACTGCTAGTGACCTTTTAAATAAGCCAATCCAATGAGTTGGAAAACAACCTACAGGTGCCCCCCCTTGTGTTTGTGGCTTTTCACTTTAAAAGATGGACTGTAACAGCTATCAGATGTACTTCATATCCTGAACCTGAAGGGCCCTGTCATGACAGAATAAAAATCCTCTTACTTTTACATCAATTGAGGTTATGTGAGTGGTGTCTGGAGCAACTCCTCCGTGATGTTTGGACTTCTAGTCCAACACCAGGTGGCTCAAATTGTAACCCCGCAGCGTAAACAGAGACGGTGCTTTTGTTTCCCAGCCGCCCAGACCAAATAATCACACAGAAACTGTAGTAATTACAACACTGTTTGGCCATGGCTCAGACGTGTTCCTACCTTGCTCTTATGCCTTAAATTAGCCCATTTCTGTTAATCTGTGTAATGTTCTGGCATCTTTCTCTATATGGCATCTCCTCAACCCCACCTACTCTCTCTGTGTCTTTGTTTGGATTTCCTGTATAGCTTTACTCTGCGGAGCAACTGGCCAAAACAGCTTTATTCATAACAAAAGCAACACATATACAGAAGGACACCCCACACCACCATAGTTCTGGAGGCTGGACATTGAGGACCATGGCTCGGCAGGTTGGTTTGTTCTTCTCCTGTCCTCGTAAGATCTGCACTTTGTGCTGTGTCCTGATGGACTTTTCTAGTGACACCATGCAGATTGAATCACTGCCACCCTGATGCTCTCATTTTTGCTTAATCCTCCCCTTTCAAAGATGCTGTTTCCAAATACAGCCATGTTCTGGGGCACGGGGGCGAGGGGGTTAGTGTAGCTGGAGTTTTAGGGCAAAAGGCCCAACTGGCCGTGCTCAGCAGGCAGTTAGGGCAAGGAACACAAACCCTCTGATGTCTGTAGGGCTAGGACTAATTACGGCAAGGGATACAAACCCTCTGATGTCTGTAGGGCTAGGACTAATTACGGCAAGGGACATAAACCCTCTGGTGTCTGTAGGGCTAGGACTAGTTAGGGCAAGGGACACAAACCCTTCATGGTTTCTAGAGATGCTTTCTAGGAAAGTTTCAGTCAAAAAGAAGGTATGCCCCCATGAGTAGGGTGTTAGCATTTTGTTAAACAGGGGATTTTTACAGTGAGTGTGTGCACATGCCTGTACACGCTTGAACCATTTCTCTGAGGAATGCAAGACACCACGTAATTTAATAGTCTGTTGTTGGCAGCTTGGGGGCTGTGGGTGGCAGGGAAGCTCCTCACTGTATATATACTTTGGTACTTGAAGAATAATTTTTGACTCCTAAGTTGACTTAGTAAGCAGATTATTGAATAGTGATCTTACTTCTCTAAGAAGATTGGATCATTGATGATTTACATGGAAGTTTCCGTGAAAAATTATTCTGTAAACTTTGTCATCGTCACTGACCTACTTCTGTGTTTTCTGGCATTTCACGTCTCACTAGGAACTTTTTTTTTTTTTCCTGAGGTCTGAGGTCAGTGGTCCTCCTGAGTAGTCTAGCGTGGCTCCTTCTCCAGCACAGGCTCCTCAGACTTCCTTACCCTGACCGAGGCCTCTGATGAAGATGAGTCATTTTCAGGTTTCGTTTTGCTTTGAGCCGTTTGATCTGGTTAATTGGGCCAGTTTGGCTTCACCAGGTTATTTCCAGGCATTTGTGGGTGCTGACATGACTGGTGTTTGGTTAGTGAGCCTCAGAGTGCTTCCATTTCGTTATCTCTGGATCACACGAACTGTGAGGTTTGAGTTACTAAGGGAGGGGTGTGTATGTGTGTGTGTGTGTGTGTGAGAGAGAGAGAGAGAGAGAGAGAGAGAGAAGTCTTGCAGCACAGGCTGGTCTTGAACTCATGGTGGTCTGTGTGCCCCCCGTCCCCAGGTGCTGGCACTATTGGACTATGGGGCGAGTCCCTGCTCCAGGCCCAGACTGCCTTCCAGCTCCACTTTGCAGGGTTGCCCTTCTGTGGCATTGTGGGGATTGAGATGTAGTGAGTGAGACTGTGGAGAGGGCGCTGCCAGCTTTCCTGGGCGGCTGAGTGGCCACGCTGCTTGCTCAACTGGTTGCCGAGACAGGTTAGCCCTCTTCCTGGTGTGGTTCCCACAGCGACGCTGGTTCCTTGGACCCTTGGTGTTCTTGGGTGCAGCTGCTCTGCTGGGCAGGGCCCTGTGCCTGGGTAGTGCCCGGCCTGGTCCTGGAGAAAGGGGCAGAAATGGGGTGCTCATCTTTCTGTATCTTCTTGGCCTTTGACCGCTTGGCTGTTAGGTCCCTGGTAGTCTTGGGATGACAGAAAACTGTCCCAGTACCCCCTGCGTATCAGGAGAGTGTTTGGTTTCCTTGGTGGGCAGGTTTAGGGGGAACTGTGGGAGGTGGCGCTTTGAGAGGTCTGAGGGGCACGGGCATCATCACTTGGGTTTTTTTTTTTTTTTTTCCGGGAAGAATTGGGGCGACAGCAGAAAGGTTGCTTCTCTGGATGCCATTGCACAGTGGGGTGGGCATGAGGTAGGGTGGAGGAGGGGTTGGGAATGGGGTGGGGTCAAGGCTGCCTAGAACTTGTTTGGCTGCTAACAAACCCCAAAGCCTGGGGAAAAAGAGATGGGAGCTCAGTCAAACCAGTCCAGTCATGAAGGAAGTGACCCAGGGCCACATGGAAAACAGGGCTGCTCCATCTCATCCCTCGCTCAGAAAGCAGCTTCTCTGCAGGAGGAGTGAGCTGAGGGATGTCTGCCCACAAGCTTGTTTGTGCGAGGAGGTTCGGGTTTTCTTGAATGTATTGGGGGATTATTTTTGTTCATTTGAGGACAGTTTCGCACTGATGCCTTGCTGGCCTATAATTTACTCAGTAGCCAAGACTATCCTTGAACTCACTGCCTCTAGTTCCCAGGTTGTGTGCCCAGAGCCACCGTGCCGCTGTCCCTTCCTCTTCCCCTCTTCCGAGTCGGCGTACACGCTGGCATTTCCACAAGTCATCATGCTTGTCTTTGCCCCTCTTTCTACTTAAGTTTCTGGAAGTCCAGCCAGATCCTTCTTCAAATAGCCCTGACAGGAAAACTGCTGAATAAATGCCGTGTTTGTGTGACACAGCGTAGATCCCAGCACGCCGTCCGGGGCTTGGTGCTGCTCCCCAGCCGGCCTGGACTTGCCTTCATAGATTAATAATCCAGTACCTTAAAAGGCTTAGGAAAATTCTCTTCATGCACTGACTTCAGATGGCAGAATTTGCTTTAAGTTCTAAAAGGACCTTCTCCTCATGTGGTCTGTGTATCAGTACCTCCCTGACAGTCACATACGGTCAGCATGCTACCTCCCTCTCATGGTGAGGACTACAGTCACCTAACTGTCCCCCCATGTGCCTGGCACCTCAATTTGTTGTTAGCTGAAATGGATCAGAAATGAACACCAGACAGATAGATGGCCATTGATTCAAGACAAGAAGAGAGAAGGCAGGTGAATTTTCCCAGCTTGAACCACTAAACCTCGGCCACTGCTGGGGAAGTGGGGAGGGGACTTCAGTGGAGCCCCTGAGAACCAAGGTGCAGCACTGTCCCGAACAGAGCTCAGGAAGGGCGCTCTGTGTGTTCACCCCACCCTGGTGAGCACAGCCCTCCCATAATGGAGTAAGCAGTGAAGGCTGCCGCCTTACCTGTAGTCCTGTGCAGGTGGCGGAGTAGCTTCAAGAGAGAGCCCTGGAAGGCAGAGTCACACACAGGTACGGCAGGGCTGAAGAGAGCGTTTGGTGACTCTAGGTGTGTTAGAAACCGCGGCCTTCCTATAGGAGTGGATCCGAAGCTACCTTAGGGTCTGTGGGCCGAGCGCATGCTCTTCCCTTTGCTCATGGAGAAGCTGGTGGCTTGATCTGGTGCGGTGCTGATGGATCGGAAGTGTCCTGTTCCTGACTGTGGGCTGTGTGAGGGTACCCAGTGGGGTAGTGTCGAGATGGAAGAGCCCTCAGTCCTCCTCTCCAGCAGGGCTCCAGGCCAGTGCTGTCCTCAGGGTCGTAGTGCGGGAGGGTTTGTGTCCGATTGTCTTTGCACACTTGCTTTGGTGTTTATAGAAATGTGTAGTCCAGCATAATAACAAAGTCTTCTTTCCAATTGCTTAAATACTTTTTCTAGTTTTGTTTTAAAAGTAACTCCCCCCTCTTTCTTCTTCTCTAGGACACTAAATTATGGATAATAATGGAATATCTTGGTGGAGGCTCTGCCCTGGATCTAGTAAGTATCACTGTAGCTGTGCAACACACCTCAGCCTGCTCCTCCATGGCTGTACAACACACCTCAGCCTGTTCCCCTGTGTTGTGCAAC